TCAATAATGTTTTAAATGCAGAGAACTTTAAAAGCCAGGGCACGATACAATACCCTTCTTCCCCTGGCTTTTAAAGTCAGGGGAACTCCCCAGACCCTGCAGAGAACTTTAAAAGCCAGGGCACAATACAATACCCTTCTTCCCCACACCCTGCAACTCCCCCCCTTTTCTCCTCTCGCATTGCTGTCCCCTCACCATCCATCCACGTATCTCCGCTATAGCAAGCTCTGTTACAAGCCCTGGGTTCACTCCGTAGCTCTCATAGCAGCGGCCCCAGCGAGGGTCGAGGCACACAGTGACTGCTGGGGCAAAGGTCCACCGCACTCCCGTTGCTGCCACTTCCTGCAATGGGTGGGGTAGGGTGGGGCAGGGTGGGGCAGATGAGATTGTCACAATCACCCAATTCACCTTAGCGACAGCTGCTCGACTCCGTACAGCACCGGCACCCGCAGCCGCGTGTTGAGCGCCTTTTCCCGTCCCGTGCCCTTCACCCCAACTCACCTGGCTTAGGGCCCTCGCCTTGACTTGCACTCTCACCTTTGCCACCGCTGCAGCAATCTCCTCAACAAGTGTTGCGTTCCCAGCACCGCCCAGCCCCACGTGGTGCGGGAAAATAGTGGCCCCCTGCGCGTTGTTGTGCCCATGCACTGCGTCTACCCCGTACAGCACTCGCAGGCGCAGCTGCATGCTGAGTGGTATGGCCTGGGGATTGGCCCTTCGACGTTGTTGTGCCCATGCACCGCGTCTACTCCGTACAGCACCGGCACCCGCAACCAGCCCCATGCTGAGCGCCTTCTCGTGGCCTGAACTGAACCTTCACCCCAACGAGGTGACTTTTGAGTCGACTCAAAAGTAACCTTCACCCCAACGAGGTGACTTTTGAGTCGACTCAAAAGTAACCTTTTGACTCAAAAGTCAAAAGTCATCTCGTTTTGAGTCGACTCAAAAGTCAAAAGTCATCTCGTTTTGAGTCGACTCAAAAGTCAAAAGTCATCTCGTTTTGAGTCGACTCAAAAGTAACCTTCACCCCAACTCACCTTGATTGGAGCTTTCACTTCTGAGAATTCTCAAAAAACGCAACCAGGCGCGTGTTGAGCGCCTTCTCGTGGCCTGAACCTTCACCCCAACTCACCTTGATTGGAGCTTTCACTTCTGAGAATTCTCAAAAAACGCAACCAGGCGCGTGTTGAGCGCCTTCTCGTGGCCTGAACCTTCACCCCAACTCACCTGGCTTTGAGCCCTCGCCTTGACCTGCACTCTCACCTTGTTTGAGAATTCTCAAAACTAATCCCTCGCCTTGACCTGCACTCTCACCTTGTTTGAGAATTCTCAAAACTAATCCCTCGCCTTCACCTGCACTCTCACCTTGTTTGAGAATTCTCAAAACTAATCCCTCGCCTTGACCTGCACTCTCACCTTGTTTGAGAATTCTCAAAACTAATCCCTCGCCTTCACCTGCACTCTCACCTTGTTTGAGAATTCTCAAAACTAATCCCTCGCCTTCACCTGCACTCTCACCTTGTTTGAGAATTCTCAAAACTAATCCCTCGCCTTCACCTGCACTCTCACCTTGTTTGAGAATTCTCAAAACTAATCCCTCGCCTTGACCTGCACTCTCACCTTGTTTGAGAATTCTCAAAACTAATCCCTCGCCTTCACCTGCACTCTCACCTTGTTTGAGAATTCTCAAAACTAATCCCTCGCCTTCACCTGCACTCTCACCTTGTTTGAGAATTCTCAAAACTAATCCCTCGCCTTCACCTGCACTCTCACCTTGTTTGAGAATTCTCAAAACTAATCCCTCGCCTTCACCTGCACTCTCACCTTGTTTGAGAATTCTCAAAACTAATCCCTCGCCTTCACCTGCACTCTCACCTTGTTTGAGAATTCTCAAAACTAATCCCTCGCCTTCACCTGCACTCTCACCTTGTTTGAGAATTCTCAAAACTAATCCCTCGCCTTCACCTGCACTCTCACCTTGTTTGAGAATTCTCAAAACTAATCCCTCGCCTTCACCTGCACTCTCACCTTGTTTGAGAATTCTCAAAACTAATCCCTCGCCTTCACCTGCACTCTCACCTTGTTTGAGAATTCTCAAAACTAATCCCTCGCCTTCACCTGCACTCTCACCTTGTTTGAGAATTCTCAAAACTAATCCCTCGCCTTCACCTGCACTCTCACCTTGTTTGAGAATTCTCAAAACTAATCCCTCGCCTTCACCTGCACTCTCACCTTGTTTGAGAATTCTCAAAACTAATCCCTCGCCTTCACCTGCACTCTCACCTTGTTTGAGAATTCTCAAAACTAATCCCTCGCCTTCACCTGCACTCTCACCTTGTTTGAGAATTCTCAAAACTAATCCCTCGCCTTCACCTGCACTCTCACCTTGTTTGAGAATTCTCAAAACTAATCCCTCGCCTTCACCTGCACTCTCACCTTGTTTGAGAATTCTCAAAACTAATCCCTCGCCTTGACCTGCACTCTCACCTTGTTTGAGAATTCTCAAAACTAATCCCTCGCCTTCACCTGCACTCTCACCTTGTTTGAGAATTCTCAAAACTAATCCCTCGCCTTCACCTGCACTCTCACCTTGTTTGAGAATTCTCAAAACTAATCCCTCGCCTTCACCTGCACTCTCACCTTGTTTGAGAATTCTCAAAACTAATCCCTCGCCTTCACCTGCACTCTCACCTTGTTTGAGAATTCTCAAAACTAATCCCTCGCCTTCACCTGCACTCTCACCTTGTTTGAGAATTCTCAAAACTAATCCCTCGCCTTCACCTGCACTCTCACCTTGTTTGAGAATTCTCAAAACTAATCCCTCGCCTTCACCTGCACTCTCACCTTGTTTGAGAATTCTCAAAACTAATCCCTCGCCTTCACCTGCACTCTCACCTTGTTTGAGAATTCTCAAAACTAATCCCTCGCCTTCACCTGCACTCTCACCTTGTTTGAGAATTCTCAAAACTAATCCCTCGCCTTCACCTGCACTCTCACCTTGTTTGAGAATTCTCAAAACTAATCCCTCGCCTTCACCTGCACTCTCACCTTGTTTGAGAATTCTCAAAACTAATCCCTCGCCTTCACCTGCACTCTCACCTTGTTTGAGAATTCTCAAAACTAATCCCTCGCCTTCACCTGCACTCTCACCTTGTTTGAGAATTCTCAAAACTAATCCCTCGCCTTCACCTGCACTCTCACCTTGTTTGAGAATTCTCAAAACTAATCCCTCGCCTTCACCTGCACTCTCACCTTGTTTGAGAATTCTCAAAACTAATCCCTCGCCTTCACCTGCACTCTCACCTTGTTTGAGAATTCTCAAAACTAATCCCTCGCCTTCACCTGCACTCTCACCTTGTTTGAGAATTCTCAAAACTAATCCCTCGCCTTCACCTGCACTCTCACCTTGTTTGAGAATTCTCAAAACTAATCCCTCGCCTTCACCTGCACTCTCACCTTGTTTGAGAATTCTCAAAACTAATCCCTCGCCTTCACCTGCACTCTCACCTTGGCCACAGCAGCAGCAATGGCCTCTACAAGCGTGGCATCCCCAGCCGCCCCCAGCCCCACGTGGTGGGGGAAAATAGCCGCCCCCAACACGTTGTTGTGCCCATGCACTGCATCTACTCCGTACAGCAGTGGCACTCGCAGCCGCGTGTTGAGAGCTTTCGCTTGAAAATTATCGACCATGTCCGCCCATGCTGTGGGGGTGTTGGGGGCGTACTGCGGCCATGCACCTCCCCCACTGTACAGCAAAATGAGGGGGTTGGGGCGTGGTCCGGGAGGGAAAAACAACAACGGGAGGAGAGGCGGGACAGCACACACGGGGAGGAGGAGGGGAGCAGGTGTGTGAGTTTTGAACGCTTTCACTGTGGGGGTGTTGGGTGCGTACTGCAGCCATGCACCTCCCCCACTGGTGTGGTGTGTAAAACAACAAAAGGAGGGAGGAACAGCACACAAGGGGGAAGAGGGCAGCACGCGCGTGGTGAGGGCTTTCGCCTGGAAGTTGTCGACCATGTCTGCCCATGCTGTTGGGGTGTTGGGGGCGTACTGCGGCCATGCCCCTCCCCCACTGCATAGGGGGATGCGTATAGGGGGGAAGAAAACAACACGGGGGAAGGGACGCAGGCACGTGTTGAGCGCCTTGGCCGGGAAGTTATCGACCATGTCCGCCCATGCCGTGGGGGTGTTGGGGGCGTACTGCGGCCATGCCCCTCCCCCACTGCATAGGGGGATGCGTATAGGGGGGAAGAAAACAACACGGGGGAAGGGACGCAGGCACGTGTTGAGCGCCTTGGCCTGGAAGTTATCGACCATGTCTGCCCATGCCGTGGGGGTGTTGGGGGCGTATTGGGGCCATGCCCCTCCCCCACTGAGACGGGGGTAGGGGGGAAGACAACAGCACAAGGACGAGGGACGGGAGGAGCATGAAAGGGCAGGCACGTGTTGAGTGCCTTGGCCGGGAAGTTATCGACCATGTCCGCCCATGCCGTGGGGGTGTTGGGGGCGTATTGGGGCCATGCCCCTCCCCCACTGAGACGGGGGTAGGGGGGAAGACAACAGCACAAGGACGAGGGACGGGAGGAGCATGAAAGGGCAGGCACGTGTTGAGTGCCTTGGCCGGGAAGTTATCGACCATGTCCGCCCATGCCGTGGGGGTGTTGGGGGCGTATTGGGGCCATGCCCCTCCCCCACTGAGACGGGGGTAGGGGGGAAGACAACAGCACAAGGACGAGGGACGGGAGGAGCATGAAAGGGCAGGCACGTGTTGAGTGCCTTGGCCGGTAAGTTATCGACCATGTCCGCCCATGCCGTGGGGGTGTTGGGGGCGTATTGGGGCCATGCCCCTCCCCCACTGAGACGGGGGTAGGGGGGAAGACAACAGCACAAGGACGAGGGACGGGAGGAGCATGAAAGGGCAGGCACGTGTTGAGTGCCTTGGCCGGTAAGTTATCGACCATGTCCGCCCATGCCGTGGGGGTGTTGGGGGCGTATTGGGGCCATGCCCCTCCCCCACTGAGACGGGGGTAGGGGGGAAGACAACAGCACAAGGACGAGGGACGGGAGGAGCATGAAAGGGCAGGCACGTGTTGAGTGCCTTGGCCGGTAAGTTATCGACCATGTCCGCCCATGCCGTGGGGGTGTTGGGGGCGTATTGGGGCCATGCCCCTCCCCCACTGAGACGGGGGTAGGGGGGAAGACAACAGCACAAGGACGAGGGACGGGAGGAGCATGAAAGGGCAGGCACGTGTTGAGTGCCTTGGCCGGTAAGTTATCGACCATGTCCGCCCATGCCGTGGGGGTGTTGGGGGCGTATTGGGGCCATGCCCCTCCCCCACTGAGACGGGGGTAGGGGGGAAGACAACAGCACAAGGACGAGGGACGGGAGGAGCATGAAAGGGCAGGCACGTGTTGAGTGCCTTGGCCGGTAAGTTATCGACCATGTCCGCCCATGCCGTGGGGGTGTTGGGGGCGTATTGGGGCCATGCCCCTCCCCCACTGAGACGGGGGTAGGGGGGAAGACAACAGCACAAGGACGAGGGACGGGAGGAGCATGAAAGGGCAGGCACGTGTTGAGTGCCTTGGCCGGTAAGTTATCGACCATGTCCGCCCATGCCGTGGGGGTGTTGGGGGCGTATTGGGGCCATGCCCCTCCCCCACTGAGACGGGGGTAGGGGGGAAGACAACAGCACAAGGACGAGGGACGGGAGGAGCATGAAAGGGCAGGCACGTGTTGAGTGCCTTGGCCGGTAAGTTATCGACCATGTCCGCCCATGCCGTGGGGGTGTTGGGGGCGTATTGGGGCCATGCCCCTCCCCCACTGAGACGGGGGTAGGGGGGAAGACAACAGCACAAGGACGAGGGACGGGAGGAGCATGAAAGGGCAGGCACGTGTTGAGTGCCTTGGCCGGTAAGTTATCGACCATGTCCGCCCATGCCGTGGGGGTGTTGGGGGCGTATTGGGGCCATGCTCCTCCCCCACTGACAGAAGAAATAACACACGGAGGGGTGTACGGGCGGGACAGCACAGGGAAGGAAGCAGGGGCACTGAGCGCCTTGGCCTGGAAGTTGTCGGCCATGTCCGCCCATGCTGTGAGGTGTTGGGGGCGTACTGTGGCCATGCCATGCCCCTCCCCCATTGGCGTATGGAAAAACACAGGGAGGGGAGGAGGGGAGGGACAGCACACAGGGAGGAGGGAAGGGACAGCACACAGGGAGGAGAGGAGGAATGACGAAGGGAACAGGCGCGTGTTGAGAACCTTTTCTTGACCTGGCAGTTATCGGCCATGTCCGTCCGCCCGTGAGCGCGTTTTCTTGACCACCAGTGATGCTGCTCCTGAAAAGGTCTCACCTGAGCACAGACCTGAGACGGACTAATCTGATTTGACATGGTACGTTGCGATGCTGGCTCCTACCCGCTTCGAGAGAAAAAAAAACCTGAGATTGATCTGATGAAATGAAACACACCTGAGACGGACCTGATACGGACCTGAGATGGACTAATCTGACTAAGGACTCACCTAAGGACTGATCCGATATGGTACACTGTAATGTTGTCTCCGTATCCCAGCGCCCGCTCGTCTATCTGCATCATCTGCCCCACCTTCTCCTCCACTGTCATCTCGGAGAGTGATGGCACTGCGGTGTTGTTGGGGGGATGGTGACGGGGAAGGGGGAAGGGGGAAGGGGGAAGGGGGGGAAGGGGGGAGGGGGGGAAGGGGGGAGGGGGGAGGGGAGAGAGAGGGACGCAAGAATTATCACACAGCAGCAGCCCCACCTTCTCCACCCTCCACTGTCATATCCGAGAGTGAAGGCACTGGACTAGACGGGAGGGGAAGTTGGGAAGTCGCCTGTCTGCACCATCTTCCCCACCGCTCCCCACCATTCCCCACCGCTCCCCGCCATTCCCCTTGCACCTACCTGGGATGTTCTGCAAGACGCATCGCTCCAGTCCCACCGCCCGTCGCACGTTCCCTACTATTCTCCAACCCTCCCCACCGTTCCTCACCCTTCCCCACCGTTCCTTGCCATTCCCCTTGAATCTACCTGGGATGTCCTGTGGCACGCATCGCTCCAATCCAGCCGCCCGTCGCGTCCCTCCGAGTCCCAGCCACGCGTCCGCCACATCGACCACCGCGCACGCCGCCAGCACCAGCGCCGCCACGACCAGCGCCGCGCACGCCGCCAGAGTCCTTAGTCTCCGTTTCCCATTCCTAAACCCGCCCCCGCTCCCGCCGCCGTAAGACCCGCCGAAGATGCCCCCAGCAGCACCGACGGACGAAGGAAACGGTCTCGCGTCCGAGCGAAGCAGCGATGAAGCTTCGTCGTGGACAAAGTCGCCTTCGTCGATGTCGCTGCCACCGTCCTTTCCGCCGCGCGGCTCGGGCCGGACTTGAGATAAGTACCTGCTTCCCGATACGGGACTAGAACGAAACATGCTTAAGCGGGAAAAAATGCTTCCTGCTGCGGGGATGAGGGCTGTGACCGTGGCCGCGGCACCGGTGGCTGCGGCGGTGGCGGCGGAGGAAGCGGGATTGGAGAATGCAGGTGGTGGTGATGATGGTGCTGGTTTGAGGTCTGCTTCGCTTAACGAGAAGTCTTGTAGCGAGTTTCGGCTTCCTCTGACTTCTAGCGAAGATCGACTGCGATTCCGAACCGGAGAGGGGAAGGCATTCGCGTACATGAAATCAATCTTGATTTTATTCCTTGAAAATGTATACTTCTGACTTCCGACAGGACAAATCCAAAGAAACCAGGCGAGAGGAGAGGAACTCGAGATGTTTCAAAGCACTTCACCTCGTATCCTCAGCTATTCATATGAGCTTAGCTTCTCCTGCTCGACAAGTCGCGATGGAATCCAAACGCCTCTGGGAGTGTGATCTGGAGGGACCGAGTGGGCCAACCTAGTTTGAAACTGCCGTTTTTCGCGGGGGAGAACTGGTAGACTCGTAGAATAGCTGGCGGGAAACACCGAGCTACCTCGGTTGTGTCGTTCTCGATGTTCTGCATGGGACAGGAAACAGCTGGGGTAAACGCATGTAATCAGACACGAGGAATTCTTTGGGCTTCCATGAGAAATGGACAACACCAACAATCCTAGAACACTTTCACAATACAGAATAAAAATCTATATGAAGAATTATATACCAGGCTCGCACTCAGATTTTATTCACCTCCAGGTATATTATGTAGATTTTTGATGTAATCTGTGCACAAATCTCCTATATTTGTGTGAGACCACTCTTGGTAGATATTTGTAATTATTTTATTGTGCCGTTTATGGTCCATTAAATCTATCATCTTCGTGAAACAATTTGCCAAGCTAGCAAACATATACAATCACACATGTGATTTCTTAGTAGCTTGGAAGCTCGCTATGACGAGTATTGTAATCACCATGTATTTCGTCATAATCTGAGGCACTCAATGGAGCGCACATTACCTTGTCAGCGTCTGTGAAGTTCCACGTACACCCCAGCTCTGCTTCCGTCTGCTGAATCGGCAGTACAGCTGTCTCACATATACGCCTGAAGGCAAGCTGCCAAGAAATCTCCAGCATTCTATATGATCTTCCAAACAGGTTGAATTTCCGAATCGCATGATACCCACGCGTCGGCCACATTGCGGCAACTCACTGCCCAGCAATCAGGGCGCTGGTGTTGTGGGGGATTAGTGGCGAAAACGCAGCCAGCCACCAAGCCCACACTCCAGCGAAGTGAGGCGAGTCGCCCGCGGTCCGGAAAAACCTTTCGACATTGGAAATCTGGAATCTGCCGCTGATCCCTCCCTCCCACCAACCCCACTCTTCCACCCCCACATTGACCCAGCTCACCCTTCCCTCGCCCCATCCTTCCTGCCGAACATGCCTCTGCTCTGCTTGGCTTCGTCGATATTGACATCTGTCTAGTCGGCGCGGTGCTTCCAAAACGCAAAATAGGGCCCACCAGGTCTCGACTCACGAATAGGTTCTAGTGCTCCCACCCGGCCGCCACACACCATAACCCTCGAGTTCTTCACGATGTTTGATTTCGATGCTTTTTACCAACAGACCACTCTTGCGACCTGAGGCGCTCTCTCTTCTTAGATTCGCAACTCTCCATAGATATCGTTTTCTTTCAGTGTTTCTAGTTTAACTTCGTAAGACATCGTCAGCGCGCTCCCCCTTTCACGTATCAACGTCAGTAGATTGGCATATCTGCTCGCGAGCCGCACGAGGGTGTTAAAAAAACTCGACTTCCTGGGATTCTTGAATGTTCCTTTCCATCCCTGCCTTTGCATAGACGAACCTCCTTCTCAACGGTGATTTAGACGACCAAACAACCTTCGGCACGAATACTTGCCGTAAAAAATAATAGCCTTCTCGCGCCAGTAGTTCCTCCCATTGAAAGTCCTCCATCAGCGAGTTAGTGAGACTCAGAAAATTCCCCGTCACGCAGCTCGTAACCGGCGACGCTGCTCGTAACCGACGACGGCGCAGCGCGTCATCAACTCGATGACAGCCTCAGCCATGGCGTCAACGCGATCGCGGCGCATGTCACGGCATTCATCCCACGCTCTTCACTCCGCCGTAGCCCCACTCGGCCTAACCCTGTTGAACCCGTCAGCCCTGCTCCCGCTCCTCCTGCTGGTCGCCCTCGTCATATCGCCGTGGCTTACCGCCACTGCGGCGGGTCAATCCCTCGATATGAGCACATCGTTCGGCGTGAGCACCGACCTCGGTGTAGCAACGGACATCGGCAGTGGTGGCTCCCCGCTATCCGTAAAAACGGCGTCTGCCACCGACGGCTCTGATCGCACGGTAAATCTCATGGCGATGACGGCAGCGGCCGGCACGGGGAAAAAGTCTGGAACCGGAAAATCAGCCGGCTCCGGGACGGGTGTCGGCGCGGGCAAGGGTGCGGGGACGGGTGCGGGGACCGGCGGGAGTACAGGAACGGCAACTGGAGAGCGGAAGGTACCGGAAATTGGGACCGGCGCGGGGAAGGGTACGGGGACAGGCGCAGGGAAAGGTACGGGGACAGGTGCGGGGAAGGGTACGGGAACGGGTGCGGGGAAGGGTACGGGAACGGGTGCGGGGAAGGGTACGGGAACGGGTGCGGGGAAGGGTACGGGAACGGGTGCGGGGAAGGGTACGGGAACGGGTGCGGGGAAGGGTACGGGAACGGGTGCGGGGAAGGGTACGGGAACGGGTGCGGGGAAGGGTACGGGAACGGGTGCGGGGAAGGGTACGGGAACGGGTGCGGGGAAGGGTACGGGTACAGGCGCCGGGAAAGGTACGGGGACAGGAGGGGGAACAGGTACCGGGACCGGCGCGGGGAAAGGAACCGGGACGGGGGCGGGAAAAGGAACGGGTACGGGTGCGGGGAAGGGTACGGGAACGGGCACTGGGAAAGGTACGGGGACAGGCGCGGGAACAGGTACGGGGACTGGCACGGGATCAGGTACGGGGACTGGCACGGGATCAGGTACGGGGACAGGCGCGGGGAAAGGTACAGTGACAGGCGCGGGCGGGGGTACGGGGGCAGGCGCGGGGGTGGGTACGGGGACAGGTGCGGGGGGGAATACCGGAACGGGAAAGGGAAGCAGTGGAGGCAAGGGGAAGGGGAAGGGGGGGGGGAACTCAAGGGGCTCCGGATCTGGCTCGGGGAAAGGAACTGGTACGGGTGGAGGCTCGGGAACTGGTTCGGGAACGGACGCTGGATCTAAATCCGGGAGGTCGTCGGGGGATAGCGGAGATGTGATTCGCGGAGGGGGTAGCGGAGCCGGGAGTGGGATGGGGAGCGGAGGGGGAAGCGGAGCGGGGAGTGGTACGGGGAGCGGAGGGGACACTGGTGGACATACGGGAAGCGGGGGGACGGGGAGCGGGGGGTCAGGAAGCGGGGCGGGAAGTCAGACAGGCGGCGGAGGGCAAGCGAGCGGTGGAGGCGGAAGTCAGAATGGCGGGGGGGCGGGATCCGGAGGCGGAGGGTCAGGCGGAGGGTCAGGGGGAGGTTCGGGCGGAGGTTCAGGCGGAGGTTCAGGCGGAACGCCGGGTCCTATCCTGACAGCGGAGCAGGAGGCAACGCTAGCGAAAGTGAACGAGGTTCTGACGTTTCTGTACGAGAAGAAATTCACTGGAGTTGCAACGGGCATCAGAATGAGCGGTGAGTCATATTTGCAAAATAGCATTTGGTACGATACTTTTCATTCTCGTTTTGTTTGTGTAACTGGTTTTATCCTTTATAAACATCCATGCTCTGTTCCTTTTTTACAGGTATGAATGAGACGCTGATGAATACGCTCCTCACAAACAACATTACGATCTTTGCGCCAACCAATGGGGCCTATTTCCGCATGCCCAAGAATACGCGCTTTGGAGGGCTGCAAAGGAAGAAAAGTATTCTCTGGCAAGTGATGGCCTATCACGTGCTGCCACGTCGGCTGGAACTTAACGACATCAAGGCCCTTGGGAATGGATTCCTGGTAAGTTTGTGAAGTCACGTCACATCCTTTCTAGTATAATATATTTATACATCATTTCCTACCTACACCTCTCACCTCACACCCTCAATACACTCATCTCCGCTTTCATCCCTCTCCCCTACACCTCTCACCTAAACTATGATTGCAGATGGAAACCCTTGACAAACTACCATTGAAGAAGAATCAAACAGACTACTGGCTGAAGTTGTACCGAACAGAGGACACGGAGGGCGCACGCGTTCTGATCGGCAACATGTTTTCGAGCCCATCGATTGTCGTCCACGCAGTCGATACCGTGCTGCTCCCATCCAGGGTCAGGAACAACGGCACGTGGACCCCGGTGTAGAGTCATGAACACGCCATCACTGGTCGTAGCATCATCAGCAATTTGTCGTGGAGTCTGCTTTTTGTCACCCATGCCATGGGTACAGCGCTGCTTGTCGCAAGGTGCAGGAATAACGGCATGACGTCCCCGGTGTAGTGAATTGAACATGCCGTCGTTGGCATAGCTCTCTCTCATCAACAATATGTAGTCTGAGTCTGCTTTTTGTCACCCATGCCATGGGTACAGCGCTGATTCTTGCAAGGGTCAGGAATAACGGCTTGTGGACCCCCGCGTAGTGTATTGAACACGCCGTCATTGGCATCGCTCTCATTTGCAATGTACGTAGTGGAGTCTTTTATTGTCACCCATGCTACTATGCTTATACGGTAGCTCTGCTTCTGGCAAGGGTCAGGAATAACTGCACGTGGACCCCGGTGTAGTGTATTGTACACTCAGTCATTGGAATTGCTCGCATTTGCAATATGCTGTCGAGCCTGTAGATTGTGGTCCATGCCGTGGATACTGCTCCGCTTCCGGCAAGTGTAGGAATAACGGCATGTATACTCCCCAATGCATATGCTATTGTGGTGCAAGTTCTATAAGACAGGGGTGGGGAAAAGGGAGGTTCGCACTTTCCCCACTCTTCCCCACCCTTCCCGCCCTTCCCCACTATGCAGCCCCATTCCACCTTGCCCTAGAGGGCAGCAGCGCGCTGCTGCTGCTGCTGCTGCTGCTGCTCGCGCGAATGAGGCAGCGGAGCGCGCTGGGCGACGGGGCAGGAGGGCGTGCTGGGCGGCGGGGCAGCAGGGCGCGCTGGGCAACGGGGCAGCGGGGTGCGCTAGAAATCGAGGCCGCTAGGGAACTAGGCAGCGGGGGGCGATAGGAAACGAGGCAGCGGCGCGCGCTAGGGAACGAGGCTACAGAGCGATTTCGACCTAGCTAGGGTTGGCTAGGAAACAACTTACCGTAGGAGATTGAGAGAGGAGTGGAAGCGACCTACCTAACCCTGTCGAGATACCAAGTCGAGAGAAAAGTTGCAGTAGAGAGTTGGGTACAAGAGTGTGACATAGAAACTAACACATAAAATATAGTGTGACAAGGGAATGGAGGAAAGGGGAAGCAGGGGAACGTGAGGATGTAGAATGTATGGAAGTTCTAGGGGGTCAAAATACAACGTCTGGAATTTTTGACCCCCGGAATTTTTTCATAATTATTCGTCTATTATCAACACTTACAAAGCAAAAATTAGTATGTCAAACGGAACTAAGAGAGCCTATGCACTAGTGAACTTGGTCACGGCTTTTGTTCCCTCGGAAACAGCGTGCTTCGCAAGCTCTCCAGGCAGAGTCAGCCGAACAGCCGTCTGGATCTCGCGAGACGTAATCGTCGGCTTCTTGTTGTACCGCGCGAGCTTCGACGCCTCCGTCGCGAGCTTCTCAAAAATATCATTTATAAAAGAATTCATGATCGACATGGCCTTGGACGAGATCCCCGTGTCTGGATGCACCTGCTTCAGCACCTTGTAGATGTAGATCTTATACGTTTCGGTTACGGCTTTGCGAGCCTTTTTCTTCTCTTTCTTGTCGCCGATGGGCCTTTTCCCCGCGGGAATGGCTTTCTTAGCGGCGGGCTCCTTCTTGGGTCCCTTCTTCGCCGCCTTCTGCTCTCCTTCTACCTTCGGCGCCATCGTAACACAGCGTTTCTCGAAAGACAAGTAGCTTACAGGGAAAGAGGGTCTTGGAAAGTGACAGTACGAGGAAGCACTGAAAAGTGTTGTTGTCAAGGGCGTCGGATAAGGAAGCTAACGAAGTTACGCAATGCGAGAACGGATGTGTGTGGTTTCTCGGGATTTGTTGCAATACTACTTTCAAACATTAGCCAATAAAACGTTGAGCCTCAGATCGAGGCCTTCAATATGAACCGTCGATGTGAGAACGTGTAGACCGCTTAACTGTCGATAACACATCGACCTAGGTTCTGCTTACCTCAATTTCCGATCGTCCGATCTAATTCAACGGCGTAGTGCTCGCGGTCGTGCAAGGTGTGGTAACTTTGCGAACATTGATTCGTCGTGTGAAAGTCACTGCAGTCTACCCTGGCTGTAAGCCAATCACAGATCGCATTTGTATTCATTTCGGGATCGTCGCAGATCAGGACGATAAAGAAACGCCAACACCACCGAACACCAACCCATCTCCAACATCAGCAAACATGAGATGAGAAACCACCGCGCAGGACTAGGCGAACCCACCACCACACCATACCAAAACACATTAGAACGCACCACATCCACCTGTGCCCCAACCATTGCTTCTCTCCGTTGTTCTGACTACAGCTAGTCCAGGCAGGATGCTCTGAATAAAGGGGCGCTGAATCGATCCACATTTCCATAGTTCCAGTCCCTCTCCGAAAAAGAATTCTCGCATCGCATCCAAACAGCGAGGGGGTATAGAGGGAATAGGGGGGTTACAGTCCGGTGAAGTGTTGAATTGAACCACCAAAACGAGTGGTAGGTAAACATTTGACACCAACCTCAATAGCGACCTAAAACACCTACAGCCTCGCAAAACGTGCTCGATGACGGAATCAACGCATAGCACGACTACCAACCTTGCTTGATAGTAGGCAGGTCACAGCACGAAATATTGTCGCGACGCGCTGGCACTAGGACGCCGCGTCGCAGGAGATGTCAACAGCTAAACGCGACGTTCAGGGCCTGAATGTAAGGAGCACGATTTGCCGAGAAGAGTAGTTGCGTTCCACAAAGTACGAGCATTATAGGGGTATTCTAGAGAGGAAAAGTTCATTTCGGGTGGGTCCTAACCATACGTAGACAATAGGAAAGGTCGGTAGAACCTTTACTACCTGCGGGTGTAACATCTACGGCCTGACTTGCAACAGTAATCTTCGACAGGGCGACCACGGGAATGCGCGAGGGAAAGGCCTAAACCGTTGCCGGTAGGGAGAAAGACGATAGGTGAACGGGATTCAAGGCCAACGTCCTGCACTACATTTTGTACATCGGCACCCAACTGTAAGAGACGATAAACGCAATCTTGAGCACCGGTTGTAGTGTTGTCTCACTCAAGCTGTAGTTTCAGTGGCTGTCGGCGGCATACACAGCTGTCGACGGACTGCTGAAGTCGAGCGTGTTGTCACCCTCTGTCGTAGCCACTGTCAGAGCCACGGTTCCAACCTGAGGTTCGTCCCGCATAACGCATGCGCGCCATCGCCCTGGTGCCTCAGCATGCGGCGTCACTGCTGTCCAAGTCACAGCATGCGGCGTCACTGCTGCCCAAGTCACAGCATGCGGCGTCACTGCTGTCCAAGTCACAGAATGCGGCGTCACTGCTGTCCAAGTCACAGCATGCGGCGTCACTGCTGTCCAAGTCACAGCATGCGGCGTCACTGCTGTCCAAATCACAGCATGCGGCGTCACTGCTGTCCCAGTCACAGCATGCGGCGTCACATATGCTTGTGTCACAGCATAAGGTCACTGCGAGGCACGTCATAGCGAGCGGTGTCACTGCTGCTTATGAGAGACCTCACTGCTGCTCACGTCATAGCGTGCGGTGTCACCGCTGCTTAGGTCCCATCATATGGTTACTATTGCTCACGTCATACCGTGCGGTGTCACTGCTGCTTATGCCACATCATATAAGTACTGCTGCACACGTCATAGCGTGCGGTGTCACTGCAGCTTATGTCACATCATATGGTCACTGCTCCTCACGTAATAACGTGCGGTGTCACTGCTGCATGTGCTCACATCACATGGTCACTGCTGCCCACGTCATAGCGTGCGGTGTCACCGCTGCATGTGCTCACATCGTATGGTCACTGCTGCCCACGTCATAAGGTGCGGTGTCACTGCTGCTCATGGCACATCATATGGTTACTGCCGCCCACATCATAGAGTGCGGTGTCACTGCTGATAATGTCACGGCAACTGCACACTGCGGCTCGTGTCAAAGCATGTAGCCTCTGCTGCTGGCATCCCAACATGAGCTGACACTGCTGCCGAGTCACAGCATTATGTTAATTTGACGTTTTATGTCACATCCTCTGGTCACTGATTCTTATGACAGCGGGGGTGCTCACTCCTCCTCATGTCACAGCATCCTATCCCTGCTGCTCATGTCAAAGCATGTGGTGTCTACTGTTGGCGTCACAACATGATGCACTACTGCTGCCAAGTCACAGCATAAGGTCTATTTCCTGTTTATGTCACAGCATCTCATCAATGCTTTTTATGCCTGTCCATGTGCTCACTCCTGCTAATGTCACAGCATCATATCACTCCTGCTAATGTCACAGCATCATATCACTCCTGCTAATGTCACAGCATCATATCACTCCTGCTAATGTCACAGCATCATATCACTCCTGCTAATGTCACAGCATCATATCACTCCTGCTAATGTCACAGCATCATATCACTCCTGCTAATGTCACAGCATCATATCACTCCTGCTAATGTCACAGCATCATATCACTCCTGCTAATGTCACAGCATCATATCACTCCTGCTAATGTCACAGCATCATATCACTCCTGCTAATGTCACAGCATCATATCACTCCTGCTAATGTCACAGCATCATATCACTCCTGCTAATGTCACAGCATCATATCACTCCTGCTAATGTCACAGCATCATATCACTCCTGCTAATGTCACAGCATCATATCACTCCTGCTAATGTCACAGCATCATATCACTCCTGCTAATGTCACAGCATCATATCACTCCTGCTAATGTCACAGCATCATATCACTCCTGCTAATGTCACAGCATCATATCACTCCTGCTAATGTCACAGCATCATATCACTCCTGCTAATGTCACAGCATCATATCACTCCTGCTAATGTCACAGCATCATATCACTCCTGCTAATGTCACAGCATCATATCACTCCTGCTAATGTCACAGCATCATATCACTCCTGCTAATGTCACAGCATCATATCACTCCTGCTAATGTCACAGCATCATATCACTCCTGCTAATGTCACAGCATCATATCACTCCTGCTAATGTCACAGCATCATATCACTCCTGCTAATGTCACAGCATCATATCACTCCTGCTAATGTCACAGCATCATATCACTCCTGCTAATGTCACAGCATCATATCACTCCTGCTAATGTCACAGCATCATATCACTCCTGCTAATGTCACAGCATCATATCACTCCTGCTAATGTCACAGCATCATATCACTCCTGCTAATGTCACAGCATCATATCACTCCTGCTAATGTCACAGCATCATATCACTCCTGCTAATGTCACAGCATCATATCACTCCTGCTAATGTCACAGCATCATATCACTCCTGCTAATGTCACAGCATCATATCACTCCTGCTAATGTCACAGCATCATATCACTCCTGCTAATGTCACAGCATCATATCACTCCTGCTAATGTCACAGCATCATATCACTCCTGCTAATGTCACAGCATCATATCACTCCTGCTAATGTCACAGCATCATATCACTCCTGCTAATGTCACAGCATCATATCACTCCTGCTAATGTCACAGCATCATATCACTCCTGCTAATGTCACAGCATCATATCACTCCTGCTAATGTCACAGCATCATATCACTCCTGCTAATGTCACAGCATCATATCACTCCTGCTAATGTCACAGCATCATATCACTCCTGCTAATGTCACAGCATCATATCACTCCTGCTAATGTCACAGCATCATATCACTCCTGCTAATGTCACAGCATCATATCACTCCTGCTAATGTCACAGCATCATATCACTCCTGCTAATGTCACAGCATCATATCACTCCTGCTAATGTCACAGCATCATATCACTCCTGCTAATGTCACAGCATCATATCACTCCTGCTAATGTCACAGCATCATATCACTCCTGCTAATGTCACAGCATCATATCACTCCTGCTAATGTCACAGCATCATATCACTCCTGCTAATGTCACAGCATCATATCACTCCTGCTAATGTCACAGCATCATATCACTCCTGCTAATGTCACAGCATCATATCACTCCTGCTAATGTCACAGCATCATATCACTCCTGCTAATGTCACAGCATCATATCACTCCTGCTAATGTCACAGCATCATATCACTCCTGCTAATGTCACAGCATCATATCACTCCTGCTAATGTCACAGCATCATATCACTCCTGCTAATGTCACAGCATCATATCACTCCTGCTAATGTCACAGCATCATATCACTCCTGCTAATGTCACAGCATCATATCACTCCTGCTAATGTCACAGCATCATATCACTCCTGCTAATGTCACAGCATCATATCACTCCTGCTAATGTCACAGCATCATATCACTCCTGCTAATGTCACAGCATCATATCACTCCTGCTAATGTCACAGCATCATATCACTCCTGCTAATGTCACAGCATCATATCACTCCTGCTAATGTCACAGCATCATATCACTCCTGCTAATGTCACAGCATCATATCACTCCTGCTAATGTCACAGCATCATATCACTCCTGCTAATGTCACAGCATCATATCACTCCTGCTAATGTCACAGCATCATATCACTCCTGCTAATGTCACAGCATCATATCACTCCTGCTAATGTCACAGCATCATATCACTCCTGCTAATGTCACAGCATCATATCACTCCTGCTAATGTCACAGCATCATATCACTCCTGCTAATGTCACAGCATCATATCACTCCTGCTAATGTCACAGCATCATATCACTCCTGCTAATGTCACAGCATCATATCACTCCTGCTAATGTCACAGCATCATATCACTCCTGCTAATGTCACAGCATCATATCACTCCTGCTAATGTCACAGCATCATATCACTCCTGCTAATGTCACAGCATCATATCACTCCTGCTAATGTCACAGCATCATATCACTCCTGCTAATGTCACAGCATCATATCACTCCTGCTAATGTCACAGCATCATATCACTCCTGCTAATGTCACAGCATCATATCACTCCTGCTAATGTCACAGCATCATATCACTCCTGCTAATGTCACAGCATCATATCACTCCTGCTAATGTCACAGCATCATATCACTCCTGCTAATGTCACAGCATCATATCACTCCTGCTAATGTCACAGCATCATATCACTCCTGCTAATGTCACAGCATCATATCACTCCTGCTAATGTCACAGCATCATATCACTCCTGCTAATGTCACAGCATCATATCACTCCTGCTAATGTCACAGCATCATATCACTCCTGCTAATGTCACAGCATCATATCACTCCTGCTAATGTCACAGCATCATATCACTCCTGCTAATGTCACAGCATCATATCACTCCTGCTAATGTCACAGCATCATATCACTCCTGCTAATGTCACAGCATCATATCACTCCTGCTAATGTCACAGCATCATATCACTCCTGCTAATGTCACAGCATCATATCACTCCTGCTAATGTCACAGCATCATATCACTCCTGCTAATGTCACAGCATCATATCACTCCTGCTAATGTCACAGCATCATATCACTCCTGCTAATGTCACAGCATCATATCACTCCTGCTAATGTCACAGCATCATATCACTCCTGCTAATGTCACAGCATCATATCACTCCTGCTAATGTCACAGCATCATATCACTCCTGCTAATGTCACAGCATCATATCACTCCTGCTAATGTCACAGCATCATATCACTCCTGCTAATGTCACAGCATCATATCACTCCTGCTAATGTCACAGCATCATATCACTCCTGCTAATGTCACAGCATCATATCACTCCTGCTAATGTCACAGCATCATATCACTCCTGCTAATGTCACAGCATCATATCACTCCTGCTAATGTCACAGCATCATATCACTCCTGCTAATGTCACAGCATCATATCACTCCTGCTAATGTCACAGCATCATATCACTCCTGCTAATGTCACAGCATCATATCACTCCTGCTAATGTCACAGCATCATATCACTCCTGCTAATGTCACAGCATCATATCACTCCTGCTAATGTCACAGCATCATATCACTCCTGCTAATGTCACAGCATCATATCACTCCTGCTAATGTCACAGCATCATATCACTCCTGCTAATGTCACAGCATCATATCACTCCTGCTAATGTCACAGCATCATATCACTCCTGCTAATGTCACAGCATCATATCACTCCTGCTAATGTCACAGCATCATATCACTCCTGCTAATGTCACAGCATCATATCACTCCTGCTAATGTCACAGCATCATATCACTCCTGCTAATGTCACAGCATCATATCACTCCTGCTAATGTCACAGCATCATATCACTCCTGCTAATGTCACAGCATCATATCACTCCTGCTAATGTCACAGCATCATATCACTCCTGCTAATGTCACAGCATCATATCACTCCTGCTAATGTCACAGCATCATATCACTCCTGCTAATGTCACAGCATCATATCACTCCTGCTAATGTCACAGCATCATATCACTCCTGCTAATGTCACAGCATCATATCACTCCTGCTAATGTCACAGCATCATATCACTCCTGCTAATGTCACAGCATCATATCACTCCTGCTAATGTCACAGCATCATATCACTCCTGCTAATGTCACAGCATCATATCACTCCTGCTAATGTCACAGCATCATATCACTCCTGCTAATGTCACAGCATCATATCACTCCTGCTAATGTCACAGCATCATATCACTCCTGCTAATGTCACAGCATCATATCACTCCTGCTAATGTCACAGCATCATATCACTCCTGCTAATGTCACAGCATCATATCACTCCTGCTAATGTCACAGCATCATATCACTCCTGCTAATGTCACAGCATCATATCACTCCTGCTAATGTCATCATATCACTCCTGCTAATGTCACAGCATCATATCACTCCTGCTAATGTCACAGCATCATATCACTCCTGCTAATGTCACAGCATCATATCACTCCTGCTAATGTCACAGCATCATATCACTCCTGCTAATGTCACAGCATCATATCACTCCTGCTAATGTCACAGCATCATATCACTCCTGCTAATGTCACAGCATCATATCACTCCTGCTAATGTCACAGCATCATATCACTCCTGCTAATGTCACAGCATCATATCACTCCTGCTAATGTCACAGCATCATATCACTCCTGCTAATGTCACAGCATCATATCACGCCTGCTAATGTCACAGCATCATATCACTCCTGCTAATGTCACAGCATCATATCACTCCTGCTAATGTCACAGCATCATATCACTCCTGCTAATGTCACAGCATCATATCACTCCTGCTAATGTCACAGCATCATATCACGACTGCTCATGTCACAGCATCATATCACTCCTGCTAATGTCACAGCATCATATCACGACTGCTCATGTCAAAGCATGTAGTGTCTAGGGTTGGAGTCACCACATGAGGCGCTACTGTGCCCATCACACAACAGCATATCCCAGGGGCGCATGTCAAAGCAAACTGTCTAGTGCTGGCGTCACAACAAGAGGCGCTACTACTTACAATTCACAATATAATGTCTATTTCCACTTTCTGTCACCGCATTTCATCCCTGCTTTCTATGACTGCGCATATGCGACAGCGTAAGTCAAGTGCAAACCAGTGATTTATCATTTACCATCAGGTATCTTTCGTAAACCCTTCGTTCGTCTTTGTCGACTTAGCATGCATTGTGATACTACCCAATTATCCCCTTTGCAACAAAATACAGGCTGCTCCTACTCCATCCGGTTCCATGTCTTCTTGGTTCTAACCTTTGATGCATACTACAACCACTGATTTATCTTTTTGTGCTCGTTTCACTATCATGGCACTAATGTTGCCCATGCCTCACACCCCTCCCCACACATGCGTTCAACCAGCCGCATGGACTATATGTCAACAGCTTTCAAGGTCAGGAGTGGCCCCTTATTGCTCCCAATGTGGTGCTCTCATTACCATTCGTCTCTTTCTTTGCTCTACTTCTCCATGTTTTGCTCCACTGAACTGCAGATCCATTTGGTGTCCGGAACATTTTTGTGTTTGTTGGAAATTTTCACGGCATACAAGACATTACCACCACACGATTGAGCCTATGTAGCCTACTGATACTACACCTCCTACCTGCATGATTTTGGCAGCAACAGTTTGCACCTTCTAAAGCAAGTACGGTAGTTTGATGTTTTTGCTCATGACTCAGCATAATTAGCACGCGTATGTGTCAAGTGGCTCAAGTCACAGCAGGCGTATACATGTATAAAGGATTTTACACTGAATTTTGGAATCCACATTTATGCGAATGAGCACTTGTCCACCAAACATGTTTGCCTCAATGGTCTTGGTTTCAAGAATGGCACAACATAAGCTCTCCTGCAGTGAGAATCAACGGTGATAAAATTGAGTGCCATCATATGGTGTACGAGCCAACAGGTGGTGTTGGAGGTGGACAACCCCCGGTCTCCATCCACATCAGTGCATTGTCCTCTGTTGAGGGAGGAGGTGCGGTGGCGATCAGCTTGCTGACAGTTGCCACACATGGGGAGAGGGTGAGGGAAAGGGAGGCAGAGGGTGGGGGGAAATAGGAGGGAGGGTGAGGAAGGGCAGGGAAGGCAATGGTGGTAGTAGGGGATAGGTATACGGGGAAGGGGGTGAGGAAGACGAGGGACAGGGAGAAAGGCGATGAGGAGAAGGGAAACAGAGAGAAGGGGGACAGAGAGGATATGAACTGAGAGGACGGGAGGATGAAAGGACAGGGGCATGTGAGGACAAGAGGACGAGAGGACAGGGGGACGAGAGGTCAGGGGGACGGGGGGATGAGAGGACGGGGGGATGAGAGGACAGGCGGATGAGAGGACGAGGGGATGAGAGGATAGGGGGACGAGAGGACAGAGGGATGAGAGGACGGGGGGATGAGAGGACAGGCGGACGAGAGGACAGGGGACGGGGGGATGAGAGGATGGGGGGACGAGAGGACAGGGAACAGGGGGATGAGAGGACGGGGGGGTGAGAATGAGAGGACAGGGGGATGAGAGGACAGGGGGATGAGAGGACAGGGGGATGAGGGGACAGGGGGGTGAGAGGACGGGGGGACGAGAGGACAGAGGGGTGAGAGGACGGGGGGATGAGAGGACAGGGGGACGAGACGACAGGGGGACGAGAGGACAGGGGGACGAGAGGACAGGGGGACGAGAGGACAGGGGGACGAGAGGACAGGGGGACGAGAGGACGGGGGGACGAGAGGACGGGGGGACGAGAGGACGGGGGGATGAGAGGACGGGGGGATGAGAGGACAGGGGGATGAGAGGACAGGGGGATGAGAGGACAGAGGGATGAGAGGACAGAGGGATGAGAGGACGGGGGGATGAGAGGACAGGGGGATGAGAGGACAGGGGGATGAGAGGACAGGGGGATGAGAGGACAGAGGGATGAGAGGACGGAGGGATGAGAGGACGGGGGGATGAGAGGACAGGGGGATGAGAGGACAGGGGGATGAGAGGACAGGGGGATGAGAGGACGGGGGGATGATAGGACAGGCGGACGAGAGGACAGGGGACGGGGGGATGAGAGGATGGGGGGACGAGAGGACAGGGAACAGGGGGATGAGAGGACGGGGGGGTGAGAGGACAGGGGGATGAGAGGACAGGGGGATGAGGGGACAGGCGGACGAGAGGACAGGGGACGGGGGGATGAGAGGATGGGGGGACGAGAGGACAGGGAACAGGGGGATGAGAGGACGGGGGGGTGAGAATGAGAGGACAGGGGGATGAGAGGACAGGGGGATGAGAGGACAGGGGGATGAGGGGACAGGGGGGTGAGAGGACGGGGGGACGAGAGGACAGAGGGGTGAGAGGACGGGGGGATGAGAGGACAGGGGGACGAGAGGACAGGGGGACGAGACGACAGGGGGACGAGAGGACAGGGGGACGAGAGGACAGGGGGACGAGAGGACAGGGGGACGAGAGGACAGGGGGACGAGAGGACAGGGGGACGAGAGGACGGGGGGACGAGAGGACGGGGGGATGAGAGGACGGGGGGATGAGAGGACAGGGGGATGAGAGGACAGAGGGATGAGAGGACAGAGGGATGAGAGGACGGGGGGATGAGAGGACAGGGGGATGAGAGGACAGGGGGATGAGAGGACAGGGGGATGAGAGGACAGGGGGATGAGAGGACAGAGGGATGAGAGGACGGAGGGATGAGAGGACGGGGGGATGAGAGGACAGGGGGATGAGAGGACAGGGGGATGAGAGGACGGGGGGATGATAGGACAGGCGGACGAGAGGACAGGGGACGGGGGGATGAGAGGATGGGGGGACGAGAGGACAGGGAACAGGGGGATGAGAGGACGGGGGAATGAGAGGACAGGGGGATGAGAGGACAGGGGGATGAGGGGACAGGGGGGTGAGAGGACGGGGGGATGAGAGGACGGGGGGGTGAGAGGACGGGGGGGTGAGAGGACAGAGGGATGAGAGGACAGGGGGATGAGAGGACAGGGGGATGAGAGGACGGGGGGATGAGAGGACGGGGGACGAGAGGACAGGGGGACGAGAGGACGGGGGAATGAGAGGACGGGGGACAGGGGGATGAGAGGACAGTGGGATGAGAGGACGGGGTGATGAGAGGACGGGGGGATGAGAGGACAGAGGGATGAGAGGACAGAGGGATGAGAGGACAGGGGGATGAGAGGACGGGGGGATGAGTGGACGGGGGGATGAGAGGACGGGGGGATGAGAGGACGGGGGGATGAGAGGACGGGGGGATGAGAGGACGGGGGGATGAGAGGACGAGGGGATGAGAGGACGAGGGGATGAGAGGACGGGGGGATGAGAGGACGAGGGGATGAGAGGACAGGGGACAGGGGGATGAGAGGCCGGGGTAATGAGAGGACGGGGGGGTTTTTCGCGGGAGGGGAGGGAGGCCGGCGGGAGGGGGGATTCCCGGGCGACACGGAGGGCGATGGCAGGGGAAGCGTGGGCGACGGTGGGGGGAAGCGTGGGCGATGGTGGGGGGAAACGTGGGCGACGGTGGGGGGAAACGTGGGCGACGGTGGGGGGAAACGTGGGCGACGGTGGGGGGAAACTTGGGCGACGGTGGGGGGAAACGTGGGCGACGGTGGGGGGAAGCGTGGGCGATGGTGGGGGGAAACGTGGGCGACGGTGGGGGGAAGCGTGGGCGACGGTGGGGAGAAGCGTTGGCGACGGTGGGGAAAAGAGTTGGCGACTGTGGGGAAAAGAGTTGGCGACGGTGGGAAAAGCGTTGGCGACGATGGGGAAAGCGTTGGCGACGGTGGGGAAAAGCGTTGGCGACGGTGGGGGGAAGCGTGGGCGACGGGGAGGAAGCGTGGGCCACGGTGGGAGGAAGCGTGGGGGATGGTAAGAGGAAGCGTGGGCGACGGTAAGAGGAAGCGTGGGCGACGGTAAGAGGAAGCGTCGGTGACGGTGGGCTGAAGCGGGGGTGACGGTCGGAAGAAGCGTGGGCGATGAGCGTGTGTGAATGTGGGGGAAGGCGTGTGCGATGGTCAGCGGAATTGTGGGTGCACCCAGGGAGTAGGAGGCAGCGACGGTAAAGGGGAAGCGTGAGCGAAGGTGAGGGAAAGGGTGGGGGGAAGCGTGGGCGTGTGCGTAGGGTACGCAGAAGGCGAATGGGTGCGAATGTGATGTTTGAGGAAGGGCGATGCCAGGGCGACCGAGTGAGGCAACGTGATACACCGTCGCGTTGCTGTCATACCGAGGCGCTACGACTGGAAAATAAGTCGGGGTGTCTACATTGGCCGAGAGATTGACGGCGGAGGCGGAAGGCTGGGGATACTTTCGCGACGCGCGAGCGTGTGCTTCTTTCTAAGCCTGAGACTACTACTCGCTGCAACGACACTTGGAGAGACCGTGGCGGTTGCGTTAGAGAAAACATAGTGGCGGCGGCTCGGTTGCAACTAAAGTCGCCAAAGGTCCCTGATTCGTGTCTTTGAACAGAGCACTTAGACTGAAGATTGCCCGTATGTGACGGGAGAACGACTACTAGCGTGCCTCATAATATGCGTGTCCAAGCGTTCCCGATGGTTTTCAAGTTTACTCAAGGTGAACAGTGCTTTCCTCTGAGGCGTTTTTCCTGCTTGTTGTTCTAGTTTATCGCTGGCCAATCACGGATCACCTCTGCTGCTTGAAACTGACGGATTGTTCTGAACCAGCTGGTAACATGGTTATTCACGAAATCAAGTTCAAGAAACTTGAATTTGAAAAATACCATGTGAAACTCGGGCTTTAACTTCCAGTTCCTACTCTCCAAATCTATAGTTCCAGTTCCTTCGATTTCATTGTTCCAGTTTGCCTTGGGTTTTCGAGATTGAAGTGAGACGTCATAGTAAAACTATTTTTCCGGACTTGCGGAGCTGCACACATCCTTGACCTCAGTTACGACTGATTGAGCTCCATCTTCGTCTTGCTTTCAGTTTCAGCTATTGACCTGTCCCAGCTGTATCTTCCTGTGCGGTCATGTCGGGACGCGGCAAGGGAGGCAAGGGCCTTGGAAAGGGAGGCGCGAAGCGTCACAGGAAGGTTCTTCGCGACAACATTCAGGGCATCACCAAGCCGGCTATCAGGCGTCTCGCTCGCCGCGGCGGCGTCAAGCGTATCAGCGGTCTAATCTACGAAGAGACTCGCGGTGTGCTGAAGGTGTTCCTCGAGAATGTCATTCGTGACGCTGTGACTTACACGGAGCACGCGCGGAGAAGGACGGTCATCGCCATGGATGTTGTTTATGCTTTGAAACGCCAAGGCAGAACACTATACGGCTTCGGCGGCTAGCCAGAGTTTTTTTAGGATGTAGACGTTGTAGCCTTTACCATAGTTGACAGTTAGCGTTATCAATTTTGATGTCATCGGATATGATTGTACAAAAGAATCAGTAACGGTATAACCCGCACCTCGTTCTGTGAGCCTTGCGAGAAGGACTCCTACGGCCTGGATACAAAGCCCCTCTAGTCCAGCCATGGTTTCCAGCCATGGTTTCAGTGGTTGGGTGACCCAATGGTTGCAAGGATGGTAGAAGGGTTGTGAAGACGGTAGCTGGAAAATGGTACAGCATCTTCCAGGAGAAACAGTCTACATCTAGCAAGCAGTGTTCTATTGTTGATTGAAACTAACAATATGGAGCAGCAGAGCAGCTGACATACCATAAGTGTTTCAGGTTGCTCCACTTTTGGTACCGTACATGTGTGTGCACCAGGCCCGAGGGTGTCACATGCGCTGTCTGTGTAGTACCTGCTAGAAAGGCATAGTGCCGGCGTAGCGGAAGCCTTGATGTATGATAGAATAGCAAGAGAGATTTTGCAACTGAATGGATGCAGAACAATGGATTGGGTTGATTATGAAACCACACGGCAGGGTATTTATGCTACCAGCTACCCTGCCGACACCTATCCCTCCACACCAATAATTGTACCACCAATAATGGTCACTCCAATAAAGGAGTACCAATAATTCCACCCCCAAACCTATAGACTCCAATACTGCAGCCCCTACAATAATTGTACAATCATTGTAGGGCTTAGAGGCTTATATAGAGGATTACACTAAAACCTAACAGCATATAATATTCTGATGCCTTATATTGAGAAAGCTTGCTTTCTTATTCTTATCAATTGGCATCGTTCTCATTACAAATGGCTGTTTACAACATTTGCATCACAATTGAACACAAACTAGTGCATGCTCATATCACTAGCTACGA